TTCGAGGCGTACATCTTATAACACTGCGAAGAATAGAGATTGAAACGTGCAACAAGTAAATTCATTTTTGACTACAAAATTTTATTAAAAAAAAAGCTCGTTGAGTAAGTTGTCGCAAACAACTAGCGACACCGGCCCAGAGCCCTTCTGTGGCTTGGGGAAAAGGGTCACTTTCTGCCCTTGTTTGGTTAGAGCAAGAGGCTCAAAAAAATCGCTACTGGGATAATTTCCCAGGCCTTGAGCATCCCAAAGCACTTTTAGGGACATATAACCTAAAACGCTTAAAAAAATGTATGAGCTTATCACAGAATAACTTAAGAATTTTTACAGTAATTCCGACGTAATTCCGACGGGACACTGCTGGTTGAACTATCACCTGACTAAACTGAGAATTTACTCGCATGAGCGATACAGATTTTGCAGGACGGATAACGAGACTGCGCAGCACATCTTAGAAGAATGTTCTTAAGGTCCAACAATAATAATAATAAGCTGTCGCAAATGCCACACGAGTTTTAATGCTGTGTGACGACTGACTGAAAAATTATGGCGGTACAGTCCCTACATTTTGCAAAAACAAAATACATGTAAATTTTTGTTTTTGTACTCCTGCTAGCACCTTATATTAATTCGCCTTGCTTTTATTTATGTGTTTTTTGTTATAGATCGAACTATATTTTAAATGAAAATTATATTAAAAGTAAATAAACATAATTTGAAAACATGGTGGAATAATAAGTAGGTGTTGTCAGTAGCGACGTGCTTGTTGCAATTTTGACAAGATCGGCATGCTTATTTTCAGTGCTGCCGATCTTAATTTGTATACTTCTATTCGTTGGGAAATAGTATCTAAAATACTCCTTTTTAGTAATCCGTTTTATGGCGATTTTTAAATAACTTTGTGTTTTCAGAACGATATTAATATCTAAAATTGCTGGATTTCTATAATTTTTGTCCACAAAATGTAAAAAAAAAAAAAATAAAAGATATTGTGGTTATCAATGGAAAATGACGTATGTACGTATGGAAAGGCGATTTTTTATATTAAATAACTTTTGCTGCATTGCCACAACATCGAGCCAAATGGACTACTGTTACACTGAAATAGAGTGGCAGCATGGTTAAATTACGATTTCGCTTATTATATCGATATATATGCGTTTGAATCTATTTAAAAAATCATTTAGTCTTATAGGAAATTGCTGCCTTAATTTACTGCCTCTACTTTTTTTAACTTACAATATATGTCCCAACCTGTGTGGAGCTGCCGATACAAACATATATTCAGGCTTATAAGCCTGTAATTAAACATTTTTTTATATTTATTTTGAAATAGTATGCACCAACGGATTAAAAGTTGTAAATAATTACTACCTTTTCTACTACTTTAACTGACAACACCTTGTTATTAGTTGAGTTACATACCACTTTGAATTTCGCTCCTATCTTATTGGCCGCAGCTGTATGTACACATATAAAACATCTCCAATAAATATTAAAATAAATAAAATATTGACGAAACCACTGGCGCTCTTAGCCGTCTTAGCGGTGTTCATTTAATATATTAATGCATTCACATTTGGCGTAGCATATTTTGTAGTTCTATTTTATGTACAACGAGCTTTTAAAAATAAATTGTATTGCTGCTAAGAAATTTTACTTTCGTAACAATTTATTAGACCAAAATTTGCACAGTTTGAACGAACGACAAGATAAGAAAAACATCAAAAGAACGAAATCTGCCTCTTCGGTTCTAGCTTTTCAACTAACGAATCGGCCGACATTGTGAAACAGAATGGGTACTGTGTAAAACAAAAAAAAATGCATCTACTACTTACATAGCTACATAAAACTATAGTGTGTGCAGAAAAAAATCTGTGAGGCTATATAGAAACATTTTAAGCAACTTAAAGAAAATTGAGGATTGGCATAGCAAAGAACCATAGCTGGCTGCCTTTGGTTCATACTTTATGCATTATTGCTATTTTTTCATTACTCGTTAGCAAGAGCGGCGAAGTATGGTGTTGAGGGAGTGGGCTAAAGAGGTGAACAACATCGGTTGCGATGGATTGTGGCCAGAAGACGACGACGTCGTTGCATGTAATGGCACTGTATGCTGTTGTCAAAGTAAACAAAGCATCGCAATATCATTGTGTTGGTGGCAGCAAGTGCAACTAACTGACTGGTAGAGACTAGGCACCCATTTAGTTGAAGGCTTGTTTGTTGTTTGGCTAGTCGATTGCCTGATTGAGAAAAAAATATATATTTTCTTATGCACCTTGCTCTCCTATTGGTATGTACATATTATTTCTTTGCCTTCCATTCTATGGCTCTTGTTTTTCTCAGCCATGTTGGTTGCATTTTTCTACTATGCGTACATACTATGCATCGTTTTCTCGCTAGCAAATATGTGCTTTCTCGAATTTATGTAAAAGTAAAATAAATGTGGGACCTTTTTTGAGTGATATTGAGAGAAAATGTGTAAATGGAAGCTAAGTTTGTGCATTTTTTCCATAATTTTTATTGCCTTTGCTTCAATCTAAGAAATTGCACTTCAGAGAACAAGCCATAATAAATGATGAAGTATCTCACAAGACTTCTATTTTCGAGTGCAAATTTAAATACATATGTATGTACATAAGATTACATATAACCACAAATTATATATTGTAGCTTCTGTCGTTTGTATGCATTTGTTATAAATATCATCAACACATAATTAATTTGTCGTTTATAGTTTCTAATTATTATGGCCCTATTTACTTAATCTAGGGTTCACGGTATACTGATAATTTTCATATACTCGCATAATATATTAATCTTCTAAATAATTTAGGTACATATCTGTGTATCTGTGTGTGAAGCTGGCTTTACTATAATGCGGCTTTCCCTATATTCTTTAAACGACAAGGAATTTTTTGATGAGACTTAATGAGAATATTGACTTGCTAATATCGGAACTTTCTGCACGTTTATTTGCCAAAAGTTTTTCAATGGCTCGGCGCCAGTGAGTCATTTGCAATCGTATGCAGCTAATGCCGCTTTATACTAAAGCCAGCCTTTCGACATAAGCTACTGTTCCATACGAACACAGTTATGTATAGTATATAAAATCAGTTTTGTGGGTATAGTTTTGGGAATTTTTGTTGACGTTACAGGAGCATGCGCCAATACCAACTATGTACATATCAACCATCCACCCACTCACATTTTATATTTATTGTTGTCTATTATAGTTTATAATACATACTACAATTTTTCTACTCTGGTATGTTCGAAAAATAGGAGTGTTCATTCGCTAAGACGGCAGAAAGAAAAAAATCGTACTTACATTTTGTAAAGCCTGGGCTTGTCTTGTGGTCTGCAACACCACCACAATCTCCATATTTATGACGAAAATTGTAAATTTTTTTGTACATTCTAATTTCATTTACGTCAACTCACTTAGATATTTGTGCTGCGGATTTTAATTTTTCTTTTTGTTTTCTTTTAGTTTATACCTTCTGCATTTAAAGTTTGATTTAAAAGTATGTGTATGTATGTGTTTGTCTAAATATTTCTCCATATATGTATGTACATATGTATGTACAAACGTGTTTTTATATGTTGTCCAAAGTAAAATTAATAGAATCCCTAGCTTGCCACATATACATTTCGACTAAGCCCATTCGCCCATCCCTTTTTTTCAACTGTACCAACAACAATGTTATACGTACATATATTCTGCCACTCGCATGCCTCCTAATCGAATTTGCGCCTATTCATCTCCTAAAACGCGCCTCTGTTTGCGTGTTCTGCTTGTCAATAAACAGTGCAACTCGGTTAGTTGCTCGTACGTCTGACTTATGGTGTTACGTAACAATCGCGCAAATCATACGTGTGAGTGTGGTTGTACATTTTTAAGGTGCATTGATGACTGATTCTTCATAGTGTGCAGAGTTTAAAGGGAATCGCTCTTTTATTAAATTTATCACAAATTCATTTTGAAATATTTCATTTGAATGTAGCCTGATGATGATAGTTTTCGTAAATTAAATTTTTTTTCCTGTTTTTGAGCATTCTATTTTTTTATGGCTATTCTATATTCATCATTTTGCTATACCTTTCTGCCTTTTATGTTGAACACTAGCTGGCTCATTCTGAACTATACCTTTTCCAGCATATTCATAAGCGCTATAACAACTTCAATGGAATCAATAAAATTGTGTGTATTTTGTTTTGCTTGCTACTTCTCTGCTTGCACAGTCTTTTGTCCAATATTCGTGGCAATTCACTCGCTTCCCTGACAGTTCCTTTTTTCTTTAATTTTTATCATTGTCATTCGTTTTGACCAAATTTATTATGTTACTTTTGCCACCTACTTCTTTGTCTTTTTATCGCTTTTGAGTGTACATGCATATACATATATGTATGCATTTAACAATATTTATGTACATAATCATATTTTGTTACTCGCTTCGCTTTGTATATTCTTGGCGCTGACATTTTCTCACTAGTTTTTGAACAAACATTTAGAAATGCATTCCTATAAATTTTCTGGTCGTGTAAAATTTTATTGTTATTCATAATTTAATTCCAATATGACTTGCATGGGAGTAAATTTTTCATGCTTTTGTCGCGCTTTTTTATGTATCCATACCTTTACATTTTGGGATGGAAAAAAAATAGGAGGTTATATACCATTGGCCAAATCGATTTTACATTAGAGCGATTGTAAAAAATGCGAAACTATGAATAATTAATATTGTTTTAGTTTGTGATCGGCCTTAAAACCCTTTGGCAAAAATTTTTGTTCTAACAAAAAAACCCAGTGGAATATTCCTGAAGGGACAGTTCTTAGCCAGATATAGATACATAAATTTGTGTCCTTACGATTGCGTAGCTCGTCTGTCGAGGGTGTTAACTAAATCGGCGTTTTGAATATTTCCTCCCAACACTTGTTTAACATTATATGAATTATCAACCCTAAAATTAATAAATTATATATTCTCCATTTACAGCAATCAATAATACATCGAGTAATAGCGAAAAATTCACTAAAACGATATAAATAAATCACATACATATAACAAGTCTAAAAGACATTTTAAGTGAACTGCAACCTTTCAGGCAGAAAACAACGACAGTGGAATCGCCAAATAATAAACGACGCTTCAACCGCAAACCAAGGAAACGTAAACGGAATCGGAATCGAAAACGCATCCACAAATGCAACAGAATTAACGTAGGCTACGTTGTTGTGACATTTTCTTTTCCTTTTCCTAATTCCAATGAAAATCAATCAACACACGACGGTAAGCAATTTATGAATACCAATTATCGTAGGATCGATATTTACTAGTTACTCCAAAAAAAAAGCAAACACCTATTTGTAGTGTTAGAGCGCTGGAAATTAAGCACGGTGTATAAAAGAAATACAATCAGCAGTTTAGTAATGTCCCCTGATGTAATGGCTTACAATGTAATGGTCAGAACAATTAGAAATTCCCGCGACTACCAAGCCACAAACGATTTTCTAACCGCAAAAGCAGCATCAGCACAATTAGCAGCAGTAAAATTAGCTGCCACACTAATATTATACACCTGCTACAAAGCATTGCAACCAATTATTAGAGTCACCAGTCACTACAAAGATTACAGCAAAAATAATCGTATAACATTTTGTTACGAATTAAGCCCCCATGTGGGTGGGGGACCGCCTCCAGCAGCAGCGGTAGGAATAGCAAAAGCGGCTGGCCTAAATAATGATAATAGTTAAGTGAGTGAATTTCGAAACAAGAGTAACCGGGATTCACAAAAATTTATTTCTAATAAAGGATTTTAATTTGCTTTCAAGAAAAAACAGTAAATCTAAAATTTGACCTTTGTTGCTTAAAAAAAAAAAATACATCACCTTTTATACTTCTCTTGAAGTAATAAATAATTGTAGTGCAAATCGCAGCTTTGTCAGATGCACTAACAATACATACATAAGTACTGCATAGCGAATGATGCCATTGCAATCGTCTGGTATAATTGTCGTAGAGAAGCCAACAACAGCAGTGACAACACAATCAGGCAGTACAGCAGCTACCGGTGATGTAGCAGCGCCGGCAAACTTAGCTATACAACAGTCGCAACAGCAGTTTTATCAGACACAGCAGTCAACAATAGCAAAGGGTACAAGCGTTGGAGCTGCAACATCGGTTGGAAAATATTTTGAATACTATGGTACGAATGATGTACGCCAACCACAACAACAGCAGCAAAACCACCAGAAAAAACATAATGTTGCTAGCACCAACAAAAATACTAGTAGTAGAAGTCAATCGCAGTTGCCATTAATGCGACGTGCACAGCAGCGCAAGAATAGTAACAGCAGCAATTTGAGTAAGAAGTGTAGCAATAATACTACCATTACGAGAGCAGCAACCAACACGAAAATTCTACAAATTAATGCAAAGCAGCAGCAGCAGCAACACCAATTAGTACAGATGAATCAGCAACAACAACATCAAATAATACAGCATACAACAATACATCAACAACAGCAACCTCATCAAATACATCAGCAACAGTCACAACATCTGGCCACATCACAGTTGCAGCAGCAGCAGCATCTATCGTCGAAGCAGCAGCAGCAACATGTGCAAAAGCAGCATCAGCTGTCTCAACAAATGCATTCACAACAGCAGCAGCAGCAACAACAAAATCTCCAGCAGCCATCACAGGCACAGCCTCAGCAGCAGGTAATTCAAGTGAGCGAAGAATTCATTGAACAAGCAACTGCTTCGGGAGCCACCAACATGATGATATCAACAACAGGCGAAGTGCTGAATCCGCAGATCTTCAAAATAGTAGCCACAGATGGCACCACAGGCAACATGATTATCGACAGCGGCAGCGCTGCCGCCGTCGGTGGCCAATCCAAAGTATTGCTAAGCAATTTAACTGTGTTGGCAAAACAAGCTCCTAACGCGCCGAACACGTCGGCAACCAGTGGGGTGGCTGTGGGCTCAGGAGGCACCTTGGGCGCGCAGCAACAGCACACGATTGGCGTTAGCAGCGGCGGCCAATCACAATCGGGACAAACAATCAATTATATGAGTGCTAAAAACTTGTCGTATTTAACCACAGCAACGGCAACCGCCACACCTATTACTGCAGGTGGTGGAAAAACACAAAAGTATACCGTAACGGGCACCTACAAGACGGGTGTAAAACAACAGCAGCAACAGTCACAGCAGCTAACGTCAACCACGTACATACAACAGTCGCAACAGCAGCAACAGGCGAGCCAGAGTACATCACAGGGCTCGCAGCAACCACAGCAGCTTTATCAAAAGCTCTCGGTACCGCGCCACGTACAAATGCTTACGCGGGTGCAGACTGTCATGCAACAGCCATCGTCGGCGGCTGGTACGTCAATGACAGCAAACACAGGACAACAAACCCAGCAGCAGCAGCAGACGCAAATGCTGGTGCAACCTATTGTAGGAGGGCAAAAGTATTTGAGCAGCAGTGCCACAACAAAGAGTGTGAGCGTTACTGGTAACGCAGGCAATATGTTGAAGAAGTCGAATAATTTAAAAATTTCCCATGGTAACAATAAAGTGGTGAACAACATGCAAATGCAGCAACAACAGGGTGTGAAAACGACCTATATCACACAGCAGCAGCAACAACAATATCAGCTACACCAGCCTCAATATCAGAGTAGCGGCAGCGGCAAAATTAAAACATCGAAGTTGCTCAAACAGTACAATAATGTTATAAATAATAATAGTAGCGGCGTAAACATGTTGCATCAACAACCGCTGGGCACTTACACAGTTAGCAATAACGGTGGAGGTCATAAACTGCAGCAGACGACAAAGGTGACAAAAATGTCTAGCAATAAATATGTATCACATCAACAGCAGCTGCAACATGTCGCATCTTTGCCACAAAGCACGCAACTGCATCACAAAAATGTACCACAACAGCAGCAGTTTTCAACAAGTACCAATGTTGTCACACTTGCGGGTGGCAGTGCCAATAATACCAATAACGTCGGCAACACTATCAAATTTGTAAATTCGACGCACGCAACAGTCATACAGCAGCATCAGCCAACATTGCCCATGCAGCAACCGCAACAATCGAAAGTAACGTTACGTCAGCAGCAGCAACAACATCAAATACAGTTCGTCGACGCACCAACTGGCGCCATTGTTAAAGATAACGCCACTGGCAATAATATTTACCAGTCACAAACGCACTCCGCCAACAACAACGGCAACAATTCACAGTCGCTGCTCAACGATGATATTATGATCGTTAATGGCACACAAATGACAGACGAGTTGTCAGCACGCATACTACAGAGCATGGCGCAAAAGTCATTCGGCAATCAGCAACGCTACCAGCAACAGCAGCAACCAAAGTCGGTTGTCATGCCACCGCCGACAGCACAGCAAACGCAGCAGCAACAGCAAATTGTATTGCAGCAGCATCCTTCGCCAACATCTGTGCTGCTCTCGCCCAAAGAATATCCGCTATATAGCGCTGGCCAACTATCAGCGCAACAACAGCAGATGGCACAGCAACAGCAATTGTCAGCGCCCTCAACAATCAATACACAATACAGCACAACTGTGCAACAGGGACCTGTCTCGGCGAATGCTTACTTGCCACTCTCTGCTGCGGGTGTACATACTAGCAGCGCCGGTAGTAGTGCTGTCTATGCAGCAATCTCTCAACAATCTGGTGGCGGCATCGGTCGCCAAACACATAGCGCGCCCGGTAGTCGCTCGCATTCTTTGGAGCGCAACAAGTCATATGAGGTCAGCACAACCATCACACGTAAAAGTGCTGTTGACTATTATAAAGCAAATAACAGTGGTGTAGGTGGGCGTGGAAATCATTTTGGCACGCAGGGTTCACATACGTCGGCTTCATTATCGGCTAGCACATCGAATATACCGCTTGACACACAGCAACAGCAGCAGCAACATTCGTCAGCACAGATAATTCACCTACAAACATTGAAATCTTCGCTGGCGGCCACCACAGCGGCCGTGGCAGCTGGTAACAGCAGCTATACGATTGCCACGAACAGTGCAGCAGTAGCTGGCATCAACACTAGTGTACCTGCTGGGACTGGTGAAGATGAAGATATTATTGGCGAAGAGGTGCGCCCGGCGCCTGTAAATACGCAAGATATGCGTTTGCGCATCTTGCATGCCGTTCAGCAGGATCACACTTATGCTAATGCTATGCCGGCGCATCTCTCCGGTACAGACACTACAAAGAGTGGTGGCACGAATGCACAGCAAATGGGAAAAGCAGGCATTGGGGGTGCTAGTGGAACGACACAGTCGCATTTGCAATCGGCATTGACGGGCAATACAGGCGGTGCGCAACAGTGGTCATTAGGCGGCATTGGGGCGGCTGTGGCCTCGGGCCAGGTGGGTTCATCAGGGGTGCTACCAACGCCACCATCCAGTGGTCAGTCGACATACACCTTGCACGGACAGCAAAGTGAGTAGCACATTTTTAATATATCAGACTTTTTTTTACGCCATTTATAGCAAACAATTACTGAAGTTAGTAGATTATAGGCTATCAATTTTTTTAAGTGGGCATTTATTTTCCCTTTTTCCCCATAATATAAATACATAGATTTATAAATTCAATAAAAATTAATTTTATATTTACCAGTACCCCGTATGCAGCAAGATGACGATGCACATTCAGCAATTAGTAATGGTTCGCGTGTCGCTACTGGCGATATTGATCCTGGTGAAGAGACCGAAACAGCACCTGAAGCTGAGGCCGAAGATGATTCGGTTACTCGTTGCATCTGTGATTTGACGCATGATGATGGCTATATGATATGTTGTGATAAATGCTTGTAAGTAGAAGAGGAAGTTTTTTAATAAAATATTTAAAGTATTTGGTTAAAATTTTTTATTTTGGTATACTTTTAAAAGTTTTCTTGTTCTTTTCTTTGTTTAAAACTGGTTTATTTGGATTTTCTATTCTCTTTGGCTTAATATCCATTTATTTTCTATTGGATTGGGCTTTGTGAATAAAAACTAGGCAATTGCTTTTAAAATTCCAGACTCGATTTATTGAAAGGAATTTAAGTAAAAGGTCTGAAATTTTTTGGAAAAAGCAATTGCTTAGATTTTATTGATAAGGCCCATTATCATATTTTATTTCATTTAATTTTCTTACCCATACTCTAACTCTTGGATTTGTTTTTCTTTTGTAGCGCTTGGCAACATGTCGACTGTATGGGCATCGATCGCCAAAATATACCCGATGAGTACCAGTGTGAAGTGTGCCAACCGCGACAGGTGGACAAGGCGCGTGCACGTGCCTTGCAGTTAATGAAACGCAAGGAGCAAACTCAGCTATTGCTCTCAGCACAATCGGCGCATGCAACTGGTTCCAGTGGCGCTTATCTAAGTGGTGGCTCCAATATGGGTGGTAACTATCAACTGGGTGATGGCCAGCAACGTGGGGGTGCGGGCGCTTTCATGATGGGCGGCAGCGGAGATGGCGCGCTGCAAGGCCTGCCGAATAGTACAACGTCCGGCACTACAAAGAAGGGCAAAGTTTTGAAGAAAACCGCCAAAGACACAGCTGGGGGCAAGAAATCCAAAAAGGCGGATAAACTTGGTGTAGGTTCGACAGCAGGTGGCAAACCGCCGCGCAAAGATTCGGCAGCCACAAAGAAGACAACGAAACGTAAAACTAAGAGCGGTGATGGTACGAGCGCAAGTGCGACAGCCGCTGAAAAACATGCAGCAAATTTGCGACAATGGATCGAAAATTATGAATTGGCCGTAACGAATCACTATTCGCCTGAGTTACGCGCGCGCCTTCATGCCATCACAAAGCAACCCAGCCTGTTACAGAGCATATTAAATACGGAGAATCGCGCGTTGAAGGATTGCTGCAACAATGATTTGGAGAATCGCGCCACTACAGTGCCACACGCGGGCGGTAAAATACTTATAAGCAACATGGACATTGCACCAAGTTTTCCAATTTTCGAATTACGTGGCAAATACATGCTGAGTCCGCAGTATAAGACGCAAAATGCATCGGTGAATATGAATTCACCGCCACCAAGCAATTATCTAGCAGCTAGTCTGAAGGCGCATAAGACTCCTGGTCCTTTCATTTTCTTCTACCAGCTGCCCGATGCTGAGGCGCCTATGCAAACAATGAATGAAGATGGCTCATATCCACCAATACCGCCGCAGCCAGCATACCTTAAAGGTCCGGAAATATGCGTGGACACGCGTACTTACGGCAATGAGGCGCGCTTTGTGCGCCGTTCTTGTCGCCCTAATGCCGAGATACAGCATCTCTTCGAAAAGGGCACCATACACCTTTTCATTGTTGCAACGATGCGTATCCGCGCCAGTACAGAGATTACCATTAAACACGAGCCACACGACTTGTTGGCAATAGAGAATAAAAAGGCAACTTCGAGCAACTGCATCGTGCAGCCAACAAGCACGGCATGCGCATGCGGTCTACTCAAGGATTGTCTCTTTGGCCCACCACCAACCCAACAGTCCTTAGCAGGCGGCGCGACGAAATCTAGCAGCCGCAAGTCATCGCTCGCCACAACCTTAAATGGTGGCGTACAATTAAATAGCAGTGCAGCTGCCATACAACTAACAATGGGTGGTTTGCCAACGTCAGGAGTTGGAAATAAAAAGAAGGGTGGCGCACAAAACATGAATCGCAATCGTTCGACTTCATCAAGTGGCGATAGCAGCATCGGTGGTGCTGCCGGTGGTGGCATGAATAGTCCAAATGTTGCATTGCCTGCAGTAGCACCACTGAATATGAACGCCAATATGTGCAGCAGCAACTCATTCAAGAGTAATGGCGGTCTTAACATTTTGTCCGCACATGCGCTAGCCACTTCAGCGGTGATGGTGCCTAATAGCAATGGTAACATGAGCGCGACCTCCTCCGTGTCGAGTGTAATGCACGATTCTGGTATTTGTACATCGTCTTCATCGCCATCAGTGTCCATACCGTCACCTTCTGCTCTACACATACACTCACCGACGCAATCACAGCAGCAGACTTGTACTGTACCCGCTACAACCACCTTACAGCGCAGCAACAGTGCCCTCTTCATGCAGCACAGTCCACAACAGCATCAACAGATCTTGGGTGCATTGCCAACGCCGTTGCTGTTGTCTCCACCACAGCAAGTTGTACAGCAACAACCACAGCCTCAGCATCAGAGCATTGTGGACGCGGTGGCTAACAACACACATGTGCCACTGCTGGATGAAGTGTCTACACCCGAAGCCACGCCAATTACGTTACAACAGCCGATTAGTCAGCCGGAGCAGCAGCAGCAACAGCAGCAACAGCAGCAACAGCAGCAGCAGCAGCAACAGCAACAGCAGCAGCAGCAGCAACAGCAGCAGCAGCAGCAACAACAGCAGCAGCAGCAGCAGCAGCAACAGCAGCAGCAACAACAACAGCAGCAACAACAACAACAGTTGAATTTGTCCATTAGTCAGGCGCAAGAACAGCAAATGCATGTGCAACAGCTAAGTCAACAACCAATACAAAACGTTCTTGTCGGCCCTACAATAAGCGATGCATCGCTAGCTGCAGCAGCGGCTTTGCAATCGCTTAACACCGCCGTAACACTGACTGGTACTAATATGTCGGTGTCAGTGAATGTCCCACTAAGCCAATCAACCAACAATATTGCCATAGCCGTTCCCGAATCTACAACCTCATCTGATGCATTAAATGTTAGCGATGTCGAACAACAAAAAGAACAACAACAGCAGCAGCTGCAGCTGCAGCATCTGCAGCAACAACAAACACAATACTATGTCGCTACTACAATGCAGCTTCCACCGCTTCACGATGTCACTGATGGTGGCATGCCGTCAGTAGTACAACAACAACAGCAGCAGAACCACCAGCTGCAACAGAACGCAATAACAGCCCAATTGCCGCCGCCGCAACAGTCGCTTGGCGCTGTTGCCACCTCACCGCACGCTGGTTCGAAATCGCCACAGAAGCAAGGCGGCGTCAATGCCAGCGTCGCCGGAGTGTCTTGTTTACCCTCGAGTAGTGCGCGCAAAACGCCCGCCAAGTCATCGGGTTCGCGCTCTACCAGCTTCTCTGAGGACGATCATGGGCACAATACTAGCAGCGGTAGCGTAAATGAAGACCACTCAAGCCTACCAACATCGAAGGAGAAGCCGAAGCTATCGCGTGAAGATCGTAAAATGGAGGCGATCCTACGTGCCATTGAAAAAATGGAGCGAAATCAGCTTCGTAAAAATCAACAGGGCAAATCGGCTGGCAATGCCTCAGCTGCCACTAAGCGACGCAACAGTAACAGCAATTCGCCAACTACGCCCACAAAATCCGTAGCCGGCAGCGACATGAGCGCTAGCATCAGCAGTGGACGCGTTTCAGCGGTCTCCGCGCGCAAAAAAAAGCGAAAGGCGCACAAGTCGTACAGTGGTCACAGTGCGCAGGCGCGGAAGCGTCGCAAAAGTCGCATCAATAGCAGCAACGAATCCGCAGATGGCGCTGGCGTTAGTGGTGCTGGTTTGCCGACAGCTGCTGCCGTAGGCAGTGGTGGTATTAGTGAGTGCGCAGCACATTCGGAGGCAGAGTCAACATCGTTGTTATCACCAACAGCTCCGCTTGTCACAACTGCGCAAAATTACGACCAACTGCATCCCGACAGCAACGAAATTGTTGTTGATACAGTAGCGCCTACAAATGAAGATCAGGCCGCCGGTCTTTTGCTCGCTTTATCGAATCCCGACCTAAAAATGTCACCAACGCTGCAAAAATCACCGCAGGTCTTATCCCCGGTACTGCAGCAGCAGCAGCTGCAGCATCAGCCAGAACAACAATACACGCCGCCACAGTATGCGCTCGAACAGTTGAAATCACCGCAACATAGAACGCCAACAGGCGGCGGTAGTGCTGCATCTCCACCTGCTACACCGGTGAGCTCGGCTTGTCTGCTGATCGAGGCTGCAGTTGGTCCCTTGCAAGAACACATGGACGGCAGTCCGAGTGGCGAGTTTAAGTACCCTAATAAGACCAAGACGAAAAAAGTGCTCATGTCTAATTGGCTGCTACATCAAGTAGATGCGGATACTAGCGGCAGTGATTCCCCACCGCCCGGCACACCAACACCACCACCACCACCTATGACAAATAATGCTTCCGCAGAGGCAGTGTCTGCGGCAGTAGCAGTGGCTGGCGAGGCAGCTATTTCCGCGCCAATGTCATCTTCCCCCGCTACACTTGGTTTGGATTCTCTAGTACAAGCAGCAACGATGTGTGATTACAGTAAACAACAACCCAAGGGTAACGTCAACTATGCTGCCATCGACGGACTGTGCCCCGCTCCCGTGGCTTGTGATGAACCACAAAATCTCAGCATGGCTGCGCAGAAGGTCGAGGAATTTATACAGCAAACGGAGCGCGGCAACAACGCGGTATACAATCCGACAGCAGTCACAGGTGTTAGTGCTGCGCCGCGCAATATGCTACGTCTGCCGCTACAAGTTAGCACTTGCAGCAATAATTCGTCGGTAAAGAAGCGCTGGTTGCGACAGGCTATTAGCGAAGAAACTACCACAGATGAGGCGATGACGCCAACACCCACAGCAGCAATGGCCACTAGCCTGCAAATCGATTCGCCTACAGCAGCAGTCGCGACGGCGCACCTCAGCGCAGTGATTAATGTCCCCAATGGCTTTACGACGCCGCTTAAGAAGCGACGACTCATCATCAGTGGCAATGTGAAGGAAGAAGACGATGCTGGAGGCAACATTGTGCACTCACCAGCAGCTGGTGGAGGTGCTAATATATCTTTCGAGTCGCCAATAATTGAACTAGTAAAATGTGAAATACCAATGCCGGGTGGGTGCGCGACAGAGCAAGATACTAAGGCGACGAATTTGGCGTCTGTAGGCAGTACCGAAACGGAGGTGGATGTAATGAATGTGAGCGGTATGGGTGCAGTAGCAGGCATGAAGACTGAGGCTGGGTCGAGTGATAATGGAGAAGCAGACGAAGAGGACTATGATGAAGAAGAAGAGCGCGACGATGTAGATGTGGTAGGTGGCTTAAGCGTTAATGAAACTCACACAACGATAGCTGCAAACGAACGAGCATCCGAAGATTGTATGAGGCATGAAATTGTTACGAATGAGGAGCAAGACGTGGCAGAGCGATTGACAGCCACAGAAGAAGAGATGAAACCCGAACCTATGATCATTGATCAAGACGATGACGTCGATATATTGCGTTCACCCAGTCCAGGACATCAACAAATGCTAGCGGCCGAGGATAATTTGGTAAAAATAGAGCCGGAAGACACCAGTGGTGGCGAAGATGTCAAGATCGATGTAGAGCGCGAAGAGAGTTTGGCGGGTGATAAGTTTGAAGAGATGGTAGTGTTGCATGTGAAGAAGGAGGAGGAAGCACAATCAGCAGCTGCTGAGCAAACAGCAATGTCAACAGCAATGGCGGCTGAGGTTGAAGTCGAGGTGAAATTGGATGTAGAAGAGGATGAGAAAAATATAAAGCCAGTCATGGTTGACATTGCAAATTCAGGGGACTGTAAGCGATTTAGTCCATGTGAACAGGATCAAAAAATAACGCTCCCGAAGCAAGAATTACATTTGGCACCTGAAGAAAAGATGTCCTTTAAGATAGAGACGCAGCAATCTATGGATTCGTTGGACTCCGCCCCACACAATAAAACGTCGGTGTCAGCCGATGAAAAGCCGGTATTCCCAACTCAGCTACCGGCAATGAAATTGCTTACACTCGATGGCGGTAGCATCAGTACCATTTCGCCCGAAGAACCCCTAAATAAACGTCCAAAATTGGAGTCGTCCATAGAATCTACAAGTTCGTTGCCGGAGCCACAACAAACTTCGCTACTCAAGCCATTGGCTGCACGAATGTTCGAAATGCCAAAACAAAGTACGGCCAGTGCTAGCGTTAGCGTCGCGGGAAACTGCAACAACCATAATATTGTGCACGCAGCAGCTACTTTGCAAACTGCCTTAACAAGGCCGACCGCGACAACAACTTCGATTACAAACCTCAAACCAGCCGCACAAGCGCTTGCAACCACAGCTGCTGTTCATACAAATTGTATGACATTTTTAGCAGCAGCGGCTGCCGCTGCTATTGAACGTAAGCCGCCACCTCCACCGCCGCCGGCACCAGTTATCATAGCAACAACGCCTCCAACAACACCACCAGTCACTGCAACAACAACAACAGCAGCAGCAATAACAACAACAACCAGTGCGTCAATATTTGTCTATTCCAATAGCGCATTGCCGACGATCGCGGCGTCGCCCAATATCATGGCTACCGCGGCGGACATTGGCAGTGGTGTAATTGGCGCAAATGTGCCTCCAACAACATTGCCGCCTAGCAGCAGCAGCAATATAAGTAGTGCATCAACTGCGCTCGCGACACGCAAACAAAACGCCACTAATAACAATAGCAACGAACGCAAAGTGCCGCTCACCGATGATGACATCCAAGCATGCCTGCATTCCTTCCACAAGGAGAATATACTAATCTTACAATCGCGCAACAACAAGAAGTCAAAGCCAAATTCAGCAACAGCCACAGCAATCGGTAGCAATTCTACAGCAGAGTTGAGCAAAGGTGCCAAGCAGTTAGGCGAGAACAAATCGTCGACCGCAAGCGCTTATTCGTCTCACCACAGTCACCACGCACATGCACATACTCATAATGAGGCGGCGTCTGCAAAGAGCGTTGGCGGTGGCGGCAGCAGCAAGCACAGTAGTGGAGCTTCGAAGTCGTTTACCAATTCGGGGAGCAGCGGTTCGTCTTCGACGAAGAAGCTGCACAAAAAAGACCGAAGCGGTAAGGAGCACAGCGGCAGTAGCCGTTCATTGTCACACAGCGGCAAATTGACTGCGTCCACTCCTTCATCCTGCTCAAAGAAATTATCATCGTCGCATAAAAAGGATTACGGCAGCGGCAAGGTGAGCGGAGGCACCACACCAGTGTCGATATCAAAGCAACAGCCACACAGCAGTAGTTCTGCGAGCTATAACAATTCAAATAGCAACAGCAATGCGTCTGGCAGTGGTGACTCCAAGGATCGTGAAGAGCGCCGCGATCGTGACAACAACAGGGAGCGTGGATTCGATAAAGAACGTCATCATCATCGCCATCGCACCACTTCGTCCTCGAATTCCACGAATACAGTGTTACAATCAGTTGTGGCCGCAGCATCTACCACTCCTACGGCACCGCCACCCATCTCTAAGAAGCGTCAACTCAACTTTGAGCAGGAACTCACCAAAGATTTGCCCCTGGTGAATGCCGCCACAAGCAATAGCAATCGTCACCGCAAAGATAGCGGAAGCCGTGACAGTCGTGATGAAATGGTCAGCTCTACCTGCTCGAGTAATAGCAGCAGTAGTCTGGCGGCAGCACGCAAACGACGCGAGTCTTCTTCCTCTTCGGGCGGCAGCAGTCGACACCGCCATAATAGCAACAGCAGCGGTGGGGTGCCAGAGCAGCAAAAGGAGACTATAATACACAAACAAACGTCTGTAGCGGAACAGAATGGCATTTTGCCAGGAACGCACGCGTCACCATTGCCGCCAGCCGCGTATGTGCG